TAGTAGTGCAGAATATATTGGTGGGGGAGGGACGGGGAAGTGGGGGGGGGGGCATTTTTAAGGCATCCAGAACATGAAACAAAGAAAACAAAATACTTAATAAAAATAAAATAACAAGCAAGTACTGTCATGGAAATATGTAGGTGCTAATGTGTAAGTGTGGGTGTTAATGTATTTGAGTGTTTGTGTATATGTATAAATGTATGACCATATCTGAAGAAGAAATAGAAAAACAGAATAATAACAGTAAATAAAACAAAAATAATGAGTGCTGCCACCTGCTGTCTCCACAGATCCCAGTAACGTATTTTGGCTGTTTATGTGACAACATATTTATTTGCTTATTTTGTGTTATTATTATTATTTGTATTTTTTCATTTATTTATGTATTTATTTATTTTTAAGTCTCATTATAAAGGGTTGCGATCAGTCACATTTTAAACGAGTTGAACACAAAAATTAAAATCCTGCATCCAACCATTGCTTATGGGAATGTGTTCACATTCAAACATTTTGGAATGGGATGTTTGCCAATATCAGTAAAGCCATAGGTTATAGGAAATCCGATGATGTGTTTACTTGGTAGCATCCCTGTATCAGTTACACAAAACGAACATGTGATTCAGCCATTACTAATGATAGCCAGGAAGAGTATTACCGTATGATTAAGTGGGTAGGGGATGATCCTCCTTCTATTTCTCTGTGGAAGTCACTGATTGTAGATCTTATGACAATGAATAAACTTGAACATTATATCGATGGTACTTTTCAGCTTTTTATTGACAATTCAGAGAAGCCTCTGGAAGTAATTGGTATTAAGAGTCAAATAGACTCAAACGAACACTCACTTTGGACTTGATCTACTTTAAACGTCTTGGAACCTTGTTTTGTCAAATATCAATGTTTCTTTGGCCAGTCTGTAGTGTTGTTGTTACTGTTGTTGTAACTTTAAAAAAGTTATAAATAACTTATATAATAAATAACTTAACTATAAATCTCAATGTTGGACTCGAGGTTTCTCACTTTTTCCCAGTAGTTTTTCTTTGAGTCGTTCTTTGTCGACGGAGGAGGGTCTAAGGTAGGGATGTAAATCGGTGACCGTTTAACCGGTGGTTGACCGTCACAGCGTTAACCGGTCAAAGCTGTCGGTTAAAAAAGAGAAAAAGGGTAGAGGGGAGGTCTCTTCATAACGTTATGTTAAGCCCTATTTGCATGATCTCACGAGCGGGTCCGTAGCTGTGTGCGCCAATGTATCAGTAAACTCCGGGCCAACTCTCACACAGACACACACACACTTCCCCCCCTCCATACGTAACATCCACACGCATCATCTCTCCCCTCTGTTACCGCCTGGTAGTTGCACACTGGTGCGGGTCAGAACTACATAGAGCTTATATTTACACACACATTCACACACACACACACACACATGTATTGTACACACACACATACCGGTCTGTCGCTCGTCAGTGTCACGGAGCCCAAAGGATCTTTGCAAATACGCGGCTCCTGTCAAACCACATGGACCATGTTTGTGCTTATGGTCCTTGTCATTAGATCAGCTCCACACACATCACTTTAAAACTTTAGCGGAGACCTGTTAGACGCGTCACTCGCTGCTCTGACCATGTGAACGAGCCGTCTTTTGCTTAAAAAAGCTTTAACCCGCAGCACAGAAGAATGGGAAGATTAAAACAGCAATTCTCTGTGCGCAAAGGTGCCGAAGCTGTTGCGGGTTTTGGCGCCGCTGTCTCAGCTCTGATCCAGTAGAACGCAGAGCTGCACTTATGGAAAGTACGCGGCTCGAAATGGCTGTTATTTCAAAGAACGTGGACTATTTTAAACTACGCGGTTAACCGGTTTCAACCGGTTAATGAGGCTCGGTGGTCGGTCATGAAAATACATAGTTTTTTACATTCCTAGTCTAAGGACCGAGAGGGTCTAGGACATTTCTGATCATTTTTATACATTTATAGACAGCGGTCATATGTGTTTGTTTTTATTGCATTTCCTGTGGTCGAGCGGTTTGATTCTCATATCTATTGTTGAGGAATTAAAAACCGAGACAACTGCTTTTATGATTTTGTGATGTTAATTGATGCAATCCACCTCCTGGGGTTTAGTCAGAAACGGTACAAATGTCTTCACTACTTACTTTTGAATGTGCTTTCATTCAAGAGTACAGATGTGTAGTGAGTTCTTTCTGAGAATAATCAGGCCTTTTAGAGATGTTATGAGCTTTTAAGTTGTTAGGTTTTTGATGCATTTATGTACTTCTGATTATTGGCTGTGGTTGTTTGTGGTTTTGTATTTTAATCTGTAGCACTATGAGGTTTCCTGGAAATGTAAGCTGACCTATATAAAAATAATGTACTATTATTATATGTATTAAAAAGCAGTCAGTTTGGACTTTTTCAAAGTCAGGACTATTAAAATCAATGGCAGAAAGATGTAAGAAAAAGGTTTGTTGAAAATGAAATTATCCTACAATATGAGTTTTGTGTGTTGTTCTTGTAATTTTGTTATTTTTGTCTGAAAAAACCGTCTGAAATCAGGCAATCCTGAATATCTCTCTAATTTCCCAAACATTCTTTTAAATTCTAAGTTGTAGCTTTTTTTTTTATTAAGATGTCGAAATCAATAGTTTTAGGCAAAAACCTCTGCCGCCTTAAGGTTTAAACAGTTGAAATCATATTACGTACTCCATAAAATCAACAATAACAGTATAATGATGTTATTTACTAATCGTGCAGAGAATCCGACCATCTTTGACATGGATCCGCAGCTCTGTCGTCGCACAGGAAGTGGCAGAAGTCAATAAAAGTGCGGTTTTCCTCTTCCTCATCAGCGAGACTGCACTCACTGTTGACAAATCCCTCCTGAAATATAGATGCGGCGACACAGATTGGCACCGGTTCATTTCTGACGGTGATTTAGTGCCGTTGAATCCAATTTCAAGGCTCAGGAGCGATGCAAAACAAAGACGTACATCTATCTTCAGTGTGAGGGAGAAAGTCTGTAATCACTCCGACATTAGCGCCGTTCGTCTGCCGCCTTGTTAAGAAAATGCACTTTCTGCGTCGCTGTTTGCATTTGGTAAATTATTAAAGTGGTGTGTTTGGGAATTCTGTTCTGATTAGCCCCAGAGAGGGAGAGATCTACTGTATTTTGTTTTTCTGCTTTGAATAGACCCTAATTATACGTTTGCTATTGATTTTATACCAGCTTCTTTATTATGCTAAAGCTAGAGATTTTATACTAGCTTCTTTATTATGCTAAAGCTAGAGATTTTATACTAGCTTTTTTTTTTTTTGATTTTGTGGATGTATGGGGTGGGATTAAACACAGTAAATTATCGTCTTCCCACTCCCTTTCAGGCCAAATTATATAATATATATTTAAGTATGTTTTTTATGATAATAGCAGCTGCGATGTTCCTGTGTTTGCCTGAAATAAATACATACATAAAATAAATAGTAAAAAGTATAGTAGCAGGGCTGACGGGTCTAGACCGAGTTTAAGAATCCACTCCACATAGACAGACTCAGGAGCAGATGAGGACATTCACTCGTTCATCTGATGTTTTTGCCACTGGTGACACCGGCATCTCAAACATAAAACAAATCATAAACTTACATATAATATTGTACAAAAATGCATTACTCCAGAGCTTTCCCTCTTCCTATTCATTGCTTTTTAGCCGCAGCCACACATCCGGAGAGTGAGAGTTTTTTGTGTGAGAGAAAATGAACAATAGAGAACCCAAAAAAAGCAACACAAGTGAAAGTGTGTGCAGAAACACATGTTCTCCGCCCAGAGGTTTTCTCAGAGGGAAATATAACAATGCATTTTACATGAAACAGTATTTTTCAACCCGTTTTTCGAGCAACAGCACCAGACAAGACAAAATGTATGTATAGGAAAATATATGGCAATAGTCTCAGTGTGTTCAAATCTCACATACACACACATGGACACGCACAAAGACCTCTCAGTCTGATTTGGTTTCTTAATTTTTTTGTAAAAGGCAAAATTATGTATTTGTTTGATGTATTTTATCTTTTAATCAGACACGCAAAGAGTCAAAATAACACAAAAACAGACAACAAAATTAGACTGACAATATTTGCAAAATTATGTAAAGACGGTTACCAAAACATTACAACTTTTATAGTTATTTTATACTATGTTGTTTACCGTTTTTGAGGCTGAACTCGAAGGCTGCAAAAAGTTTGTGTTTGGACTGTTCTGTGGATGAGTAGTTCGCTTTCTTGCCTCTCAATAAGAACTGTCCAGTACTACTTACTGGACATAAAGTGAATTGTTGGTGTCTTGTGGCCTCTTCCAAAGCAAAACTCTCTCCATTCTGTGATGTCACATCTGTAGTAACTATAGCTCTAACTCTAGACTATTATCGGGTTGGAAAGATGATGTTTTTGTAAAGTGCTGGGTTGTCCTGCTATGGAGGGACTTAAGGCTGAGAGGAGGACAGTAAGAACCCGACAGGTTGGTGAAGCCTAAAAGGGAAGTGCTTTTGGGCAAAGTTTGTCTCGTCCATTTCTGCTGCTGTGACCTAAAGTGTTGTTGCATACAATTGTTAGCTACTTTTTACTTTTACACTTAAATTTTTCTCCATCTATTTTTGCTCCATTCACTTCCATTGAAAATATGCGACTTTTTTTTATACTGTCTTGACTCCTAATATCGGATCAATCTGTATTTTTATTTTTTAATTCAGCTCGCAAGTAGCACTGGCAGAAACAAACCAGCCTCGCTCCTGATTGGCTCTTTGGTTGCTGGGTAGTTCCTATGGTAGAATTTGGCTCCACATTCTTTGTCAATGGAGCCTGTTATAGCTAGCCCCAAAAAGCGTTAATTATATATACTGTATGAGGTCTATTGGAGAGATTGCCAAACATTACGATGAGTTGATTGTGTAAATGTTTCCTTTTTTGGACAAGACAGTCGCACATTATTTTCCAATAGTAAATAGTTCAGCGATGGAGTCTGTCTCATTTCAACGTTTTGTTTCCAATTTCTTTCTGGAGAAAGAAACTCCTGGACCTCGCCATCTGTCTCTACTCCACAGGGTCCTAAAGTAGATGGAAATGTAACTATTATTCAGTTGTTTTCCACGAAATAGGCCATACAAATTTTTCTCTCTTCTTTCTCTACAGTGAACAAGCACAAGCCGTGGATCGAGACTTCGTACCACGGCGTGATCACGGAGAACACGGAGGTGGTGCTGCTGGACCCCCCGCTGGTCGCTCTGGACAAGGACGCACCCGTACCATACGCAGGTAGGACCGGCCATTCATACTTATATCATGGAACGCGACGCTCCGAAGGCTCTGGGTGAAGTGGAAGCTCAGTGTGTGTTCAGAAGTGTTTGGGGAAAAATTGAGTATCAGTATCGCAATATTCGATACAGTAGAGAAAAGTCTTGTGATACTTGATTATCTGTTTCACTTCTGTGTTTTCTCTGAGTTTACTTTGATAATTCACATCTGAGGTTTATGTGACTCTATGATGTCTGCTTATTGTGACTCTATTATGTCTGTGACTCTATGATGTTTGTTGTGACTCTATGATGTTTGTCTTCTACTTCACAGAGTTGATCTTTGTCTTTTTGTTAAAGTAGTACTAGAATTGAATATGCTGCTATCCAGAATATATAACTACAATATGTGTTAATAATATTTTGGGTGTTCATTTTGACATGTTCAGATGAATTATGTTAAAAAAACGGCTTTGAAGTTGCACCTTTTCACAAACGCTAGGGGGAGCCAAAATGGCGGCGATGGCGTTGGAGAATGACCTCTCACAGGAGCGGACAGCAGTCTTGGCTGAATCTGTAGGAGCAGCGAGTAATATCCATGAATACTAACACCTATTAACGGTTTAATTAGCATTTTTATCAATGATCGCATCACATGTAGTTATCTCATGTTAGCTCTTGTGTCTATGTTTTCAACTTCTGCAGCTTTTTGTTCATAAAGTAAAATAATTGTATTTAATTTATATTTAAGTTATTTTGATTAGCATTTTTGTATATAACAATGTACATCGTGGTAAATAAATCTAAGGCAACCAAAGTGAGACTGGCATAATGTAAAAACGAATATTAGCCTTGTAAGCATGTTTTATGATATCAAGTAGAGTTAGCTAACTTGCCCAACACTAATTAGCTTGAATCTCACAAATAAGGCTAAAAGGTTAAAAGAGTTGGACACTATTATGTACAAAACTGTTTATACCTTGTTCAGATGACAGTGAAACCTCCTACAGATTCCAGCCAAGACTGCTGTCCTCTCCTGTGAGAAGTCATTCTCCCACGTCATCGCCGCCATTTTGGCGCCCCTTAGTGTTTCTATGCGGAAGTGAAAAAGTGCGACTTCAAAGCCGTTTTTTTAACATAATTCATCTGAACATGTCAAAATGAACACCCGAAACATTACAAACACATATTGTAGTTATATATTCTGGATAGCAGCATATTAAATTCTAGTACTACTTTAAGCCTTTGAATAATAACAGGGACATAAATCACAATATATCACAGAATTGAATCACAATCCTTACTGTTAAGAATCTCAATAATATTGAATTGTGGCCCAAATATTGCGATACTATAAAATCGTCACATTTTTGCCAATTCCCGCCTGAATGTTCAGTTGTATCTGGTCTTTTTCAGTGCCTGGAGATCCTCTGTTGTGGAAATAGTCAAAAATGAATAAGAGAATGTATTTCACACTGGAGTTGGGCGATGTTTGAAGAGGTTTACGGCTCTCTGTGTGTGGTCAGGAGATGGAAGGTTTTATATCATGTGTGTTTTGGGGCTGCTTTGGTCATGTCTTACCTTTTCTACATGCAATTTTGAAGTAAGTAAGTAATCTTTATTCATATACCACCTTTCACAGACCAGAGTCACAAAGCGGTTTACAATTGTTATTCTTTTGGGCATTTGTCCTCTCACTTCACACAGAGATGGGAGCGGGGCCAGTACAGGAGGCGCATGCCAGGCCTATTGTATATGTTTTTAGTGGTAGGGTAAACCGGAGTATCCAGAGGAAACCTGTGCAGACACAGGGAGAACATGCAAACTCCACTCAGAAAGGCTCTGGTCCGACCGGGATTCTAACCTAGGACCTTCTTGCTGAGAGGCGAGAGTGCTATCCACTCAGCCACCGTGCCGCCCATGAAGGAATGCTTGCAAGCTGGTTTGCCTTACCACTAAAAACATGCACAATAGGTCTGAATGTGTTGTACTGAGTGAGTGAATGGAGGGTGTTTGGTCGAAGGCTTTGATGGACCAGTGTGTTCAAGTCTTGCTTCTGTTATTACCGTGTGGAGAGAATGGAACAATATCTGAACTCTGAATATTATGAAGTGCTTTTGGAGATATTGGTCTGTAAAAATGTGCTATATAGATGCAGATTACGTACTTACTGCTTACTTAATTGTCCTTTTTTCAACTGCAGCCTCCAAACTGGATCATAGAAAACATTATTATAAAAAAAACATGTATTTGTGTATTTCAAAAATCTACACCACAAAATTTTTACATAACAAAACAGTTTTTTACGAAGCTCCATCTCTATCATAGCCACTCTCCAATACAAGAAGAACACATCAGACCTACTGCTTGTTAATGCCATATGGAGAGTGTCGTAAACAGGCCCCCGTAGAGTCTGAGGACCCCACAGTGAGGACACGATCAAACAGGATTATCTCATGGTCACTTTGTGGTCACTTTGTGGTGCTTCCAGCTCCTGTAGCAGCAGCCGCCGGTGGCAGGACACTGGTCCGTGCCCAGCTCACTCCCTCCACGGCGGAAATGTGTCCAGGGCTTTGATTTGGGGCAATACACATTTACATACTATTGGAGCCAATGCAGAAATACTAGAATAAGCTGTTACCATTCTGAAAATCCTGTTGTATATTGTCTTTCCAGTCAACAAGCCCCAGGACTCTGACCAAACTAACCTTATGCAGCCGCTGGGTTAACACTAGCTCATTTCCTTCCCTGGATCAAAAAAACAACTTAATTTATGGATTCTGGTGTGACATTTATAATATATAACGTATTGGTGATGAAATGTGTGCCATCCTTAACAGAAATGAAAATTAGACTGAGAATAGTTCATGATAATAGTAATAATCAGTGGGTATTTGGTCAATTAAGACAAACAGATTGACATTTGTTTCAGGAATGAAGCAAATGTCACAAAGAATCCCTTGTTCTTAGACTGTATTTCTTCAGCAAAAATTACAAAATATCACTTAATAATTGCTTAAAGGAGCAGTATGTAAAAATATGGCCAAAAGTGGTACTGCAGTCACGGTCAATATTTGGTAGTTCTCTCCCACTCTCCCTGACTCAGGTTGCCAGATACACACCAAATCCAGCAGCAAACAGGAATTATTTTATCAGTTGTTTGTCTGTCTCTCACATTGCCATGAGCCGTGCTAATTGATTGAGTTGATTGAATGTTTTGAATGAATATTTTTTTTATTTTTTTTTATTTGGATATTTGAGATGAGAAAAACAAAATAAAAGCAATTTAATAATGCATAGATTATGCAGAATAAATAAGCAATTCATGTCCAAAATAGGAGTGGGAAGAATGGATGTTGGAACATATTTCTTCAGCGTATCAACATCAGGGTTTCCTCCAGAGGATATCACCCTTCAATTTTATTTATTCCCTATTTTTTAGACATACATGTATAAGTCCTATATCAAAAAGAGACTGACATTATTTTAATTGGAGAACATGGTCTCAAATTATTCTTTTTGCAAAAAAGCTATATTCTGCAAAAAACGTCTTGATTATTGTCTTTTACCTGATTTTGAGCAATCTGTCATAAAATGTAAGATTATGCAATTATACACATAGTATACACACTGCCCGGACTCGAACCTGGGTCGCCAAAAGTTAGTCATTTGTCTTTACCACTAGGCCACCATGAGACACGAAAACTGGTGAGGAGGAAACCGGAGTGAATCCAGCAAGTTTTGCTTGCTGGATTCACTTTTATCCACTGTCTCAATTTTTCAAAAGGCGTCCCGATATAAATCCTCGTTTTAGTATTTGTTTTGTCATTAATGATTTGAGAGTCATAACAAGACCTTTTTTAGTTCTGCACCACATTTTATTTTACCAGTGAGATTAGCTAGCCGCGGGGAGTTCTGGCAACCCGAATCACAGACTTCCTGATTGGCGAAACAGCGGAGGGTAGGAATTCTAATCAAAACAATAACAACTTTTACGGGTCGTAAAACTAATTTTGATAACCAAATATCTCGGCTGAACTACTGTTATCAGTTTATAATTAAAGCTAAAAATATTGTTTGTAGCAATAAGCATTTTTATGAACTCATTAGAAAATAAAATCAGGAATAGATTCTTTAAGAGATGAAGAGATTCTTTATTGGTCTCACAGGGGGAAATTTCAGTGTTGCAATCCCCAGTTACAGAACAGGAGAATGACAAGGTCAATTAACTTTCTAGTTTGTGACTTCTTGTTACTCACATGGCACTAAAAGGATTCTGATTCTGAACACAGCACAAGGTAAATTAACACAGCTCTATACTAAACTATACTAAACTCTACTCTCTAAATAGAATAACATAAAAAAATCTCTACCTTTAGCCTATTAAAGAAACATTCTACAATCTGTAAGATTGTAAATATACAAAATTGCAAAAAATATGTGTAAAAGGCTGTATTTTCTAGTGTTTACATCTGTACATGGGGCGACAGGGGCTCAGTTTGTAGAACATTGGTCTTTGTCATCAGCTCCCACTGTTGTCGTTGTGTCCCTGGGCAAGACACTTTACCCCACTTTGCCTTTATCCTCCTCACCCTCTCTTCCTCCTCCTCTCCTCCTGCCCTCCTTGCACCCTCTCTTCCTCCTCCTCTCCTCCTGCCCTCCTTGCACCCTCTCTTCCCCCTCCTCTCCTCCTCACCCTCTCTTCCTCCTCTGCTCCTCCACCTCCCTGTCGGTTGGTCATTACCTGCCCTCCCTGAGGCCATGCCACTGCAGCATCACATTTGACTCCAGAGAAAAGAGAGTTGTGTAAGCAGTGACCACACTGAGACTGAGACAGGTCCAATGGTGCTTCTCTCATAGATTAATAATGACTAATGTTACATAAGCAACAATACGCGCACACACACACACACACGCACACAGACACACACACCCACACACGCACAGACACACATACAGACACACGCACACACACTCACGCACACAGACTCACACACACGCATACAGACACACACACACACAGACACACACACACACAAACAACACACACAAAAAGTCTGAAAGACTGTGTTTGAACCAAGTATTATGTGTGAAAGACCTTGTAGTGAAACTATCCTCCGTCAATGAAATACATGCAGTGATGTGGTCGCTGTATCGGTATGTGGTGGAGAGGGAGCAGCGTCTGCAGTCAGAGCTGTACTGGACTGCTTTGGTGGAGAGGGAGCAGCGCCGGCAGTCAGAGCTGTATCGGACTGTTGTGGTGGAGAGGGAGCAGCGTCTGCAGTCAGAGCTGTATCGGACTGTTGTGGTGGAGAGGGAGCAGCGTCTGCAGACAAAGCTCTCAATGTCACCTCTAACTCTACATCCCCTCCCACATCTCTGGTCATGAGCTTTGGGTGATGACTGAAAGGACGAGATCGCGGATTCAAACGGTGTCCATGAGTTTCCGGACGCTCCCTTAGGGATAGGGGGAAGAGCTCAGTCACACGGGAGAAGCTTGTAGTAGAGCCGCTGCTTCTCCACGACGAGAGGAGCCGGTAGAGGGGACTCGGACATCTGTTTTGGGATGCCTCCTGGACACCTCTTTGGGGATGTGTTCTGTGCACGTCAGGAGGAGACCAGAGGAAGACCCAAGACAAGTTGGAAGGATTATGTCTCTCTCTGGCCTGGGAACGCCTCGGATTCCCCCAGATGAGCAAGAGGAAGTGTGTGGAGAGGAACATCTGGGTCTCTCTGCTCAGACAGCTACCCCTGCAACCCGGCAACGGATTCTGCATAAAAAATGGCTGGATGGCTAATAAAAATATTCCATTGGCTACAGTTGTTGTTGCAGGGTCTATCAGTTCTGTAGTTTTGACTGTTTCCACGAACCTATTTGTACTATTAGCCCCCTTTATTATTATTTTTTTAAATTTTTTATATATGGACCGACCCTTTGAGGACCCAATCATCAATACTGCAAACAACAGAAACAAGCGATTTATGAGAAAGCGTACTCTTTCCTTTAACGCATCAGCACTTCTCTTGCTCATCTCTGTTAAAACGGTAAAGAAATTAACGACATTGAACTTAGCACAGCTAACTTAGCTTGTTTTATTTCTTGACAAACATACATTATTCTCCCTCAAATCCTTTTCTTTCTGCAAGGCTGTACACTTTACCGATTTCCACACAGACACAAAAATACACTTTGTCAATGTAGATTATTAGTTTAGATTAAACTTTAGTGTCATTACAAAGTGAGAAGAATGCAACAAAATGCAGTTTAGTCTAACCAGTGCAACAGTGCAAGTACTATATGATATAAATATTTAAATATATATATATATATATATATGTCGGACCGTACAGCTGCTATTGCCAGTAATACAGTGGTGGCTGAGTGGTTAGCACTCTCGCTTCTCAGCAAGAAGGTCCTGGGCTCAGATCCTGGTCGGAACAGGGCCTTTCTGAGTGGAGTTTGCATGTTCTCCCCCGTGTCTGGTCTGTGAAAGGCGCTATATAAATAAACATTACTTACTTAAATAGATTCATTTTAATACATTACATTTAAGTGCATCTAAAGGATTTTAAAAGGTTGAGAGTTGATGGTTGAGGTTGAACTTTATATTAGCTTCTTGGTTTCTTCATTAGATTCAACGAAGTGTGCTACAGGGTTAAACACGAGATAAAAGTCCAACATCTCTGTGATCTGGTCCAAGCAGACTCAGCTCGAGGTAATCCTCCGGTGTCATTGTTGTCCTTTCTGTGGGGGGGACGGACGGAGGGGAGGGGGAGGGGGGGATAGTGGTGCCGCCTCATTAATTTTCTCAGCCTGGTTTTAATTACAGCCCGTCCGAGTCACTCACATCTGCCTGAAAGAGCGCTCGCTGCTGCTGCTGCTAAACATTCAACAGATAAGACAGAGGTGAGGGGGGTGTAAATGGGGAGGCTGCAGCTACAGTCTGGACCAGTCTTCCTGAAAATGTAAGACAGGCCTCTTCTCTGACAGTGTTTGAATCCAGGTTCTGTTAAGCTGGGCTACAACTGGGGTTTTTATGTTTTTATCTTTTCTTTTTTGAGCATGAAGACCACTCTAGACCGCTGTAGACCAACCCTTTGAGGACCAAGTTTGTAGACCACTCTAGACCGCTGTAGACTAACCCTTTGAGGACCAAGTTTGTAGACCACTCTAGACCAACCCTTTGAGGACCATGTTTGAAGACCACTCTAGACCGACCTTTTGAGGACCAAGTTTGTGGACCACTCTAGACCGCTGTAGACCAACCCTTTGAGGACCAAGTTTGTGGACCACTCTAGACCGCTGTAGACCAACCCTTTGAGAACCAAGTTTGAAGACCACTCTAGACCGCTGTAGACCAACCCTTTGAGGACCAAGTTTGTAGACCACTCTAGACCAAACCTTTGAGGACCATGTTTGAAGACCACTCTAGACCGACCTTTTGAGGACCAAGTTTGAAGACCACTCTAGACCGCTGTAGACCAACCCTTTGAAGACCAAATTTAAAGACTGCTGTAGATCCTAAAAAAACAGCTTCAAACCCAGAACGATGATATTGCAGTGTGTGTGTTTTACCAACTCTCACCAAATCATCGCCTTGTCGAGAAGAGTAAGAGACACAGACACTCCGTGTGTGAAAATGTTACACAAATAGACCTGCCACCTTGCTTTAGTTAAGACACACCGATGCGACGAGACTTGTTTTGTTTTGTTGTGGCACTGACGCTATTTTTCATCATGACATAAGCTGCACTTGTCTGATCCAAAACGTGATTTCTGGAGCTTGACAAGTGGAAAACTCGGAGAGAGAGCCGATTTACTCACCTGACATTCTCCAGTCAAGATAACGAAGGTTTTAAAGCCACGTTCTGTGTTGTCAGAGAGGTTAATGCTTTGCTTTCACAGTGTAACGTTCAACAGATGAGATAAGGGTTTTCAGATCCAATATTTGCCGTGAGGATGTGGTAATTTCTGAATGTTGATTTTGTTGTGGAACCTCTGTGTGGGTGTGTGGGTTTGACATCACGGAGATAGAAGTGTAAAAACAGAAGATGCTTTTGTGGCAGGTTCTTTAAGTCCAGAACAGAGAGGGTGAAACTGAGGGTATGAGAGGCAGAGGTTAGACAAGTGTGTGGAGTGAGAAGACAAGTGCCCAAAAATAACAATTGTAAACCGCTTTGTGACTCTGGTCTGTGAAAGGCGGTATATAAATAAAGATTACTTACTTACTTACTTAGGTTGGATAAGACCAGAGGTGGACAATCAAGGTTTGAAGAGAAAGAAACAGAGGATTTTGCGGACACATTTCAGTTAAGTCAGGGCGTCTCTGCTCATACGGCTGCCCTTGCGTTCTGGCAACAGATAAAGTGGAAGAAAATGGATGGACGGAGGGGTCTATAGAAGGTTGTTTTACCATAGACCCCTCCGTCCATCCATGTAATACAGTACATATTGAATGTGTAGATGAACAACACGTGGTGAAACTATGGCAAATATTGTTGCTTGATTGTATATTTATGTTTATATATTTGCATGTATTAGCATATACTGTAAACACAGAAGGGAACATGTATAAAACGTCAATTATACAGTCAGCAAGAAGGTCCTGGGTTCGAATCTCGGTCGGAACAGGGCCTTTCTGAGTGGAGTTTGCATTTCCCCGTCCTGTCTGTGTAGGTTCCCTCCAGGTGCTCTGGTTTCCCCTACCTCTAAAAACATGTACAGTTGGTCTGGCATGCCCCTCCTGTACTGGCCCCTCCCATCTCTGTGTGGGTCTCTGGTTTGTGAAATCTATCACCCATGGAAACTCCAGGCGCCCCAAAACAGCACTATATAAAACCAATTATTAGTATTATCATTATTTCTTATTATTAATGCCATTCTGTGCAATTCAAAACCACCATGGTAGAAGGTAATCTGTATTTATATACCGCCTTTTCACTGCAGATCTGAGTCTCAAAGCGGTTTACAATTGTTAATTTTTGGGCACTCTCACTCCACACAGAGATGGGAGCGGGGTCGCCAGTACAGGAGGCGCATGCCAGAACTATTGGACATATTTTTAGTGGTAGGGGAAACCGTAGTACCCGGAGGAAACCTACGCAAACACAGGGAGAACATGCAAACTCCACTCAGAAAGGCCCTGGTCCGAGCGGGATTCGAACCCAGGACCTTCTTGCTGAGAGGCGAGAGGGCTAACCACTCAGCCACCGTGCCGCCCAAGCACGCGCTAAAAACGACATTATCACCTCCTAATGCTGAGTCCGAGAGCTCATTCTGCACTTTTTGCCCACTCACTTGTCCGTTATTGGCTTATTATCTGAGAGTGGCTTTTGTTGCAGCACTTCACTCCGAGAACTATTTTATTGTCGAGTTCTTCAGGTTAAAAGTTGCTCCGACTGCGTTTCTCTCGCCGTGGTCAGCTTCCTGTCACTCAGCCCTGTCTTTTGGCTTTTCGTGTGTACGCAGCCGGCACCCACTCATTTTCCACCTACAGCGCCGTTGTATTTGGGTGTCAATCTTTGGTGTGGCACGGTCCCCTGTGGCTTTTTATAGAGCTGCCGTCGCCGTGGTGACCCTCAGTTGACAGCTCTGACAGGGAGACAAGCACTAAACTAAATCTACGGGTTTTCACACCGCAAACATGGACCATGAACAAGAAAGAGGCAAAAGAATATTCACAATACCATATTTTTTACATCTGATGCTGATTGGTTTGTTAGATCAGCCTCATCAAACCAATCAGGAAAAAAACATTTCATTTATTTATTCATTTACTTTTATCTATATTATTATTTATTGTCTTTGTT